TATATCTGACCATGGCCATTGAAAATGAAGGCATTTAGGCTTGCAGCAGGTTTAGAATGATTAAATGTAAACATTTTGTTGTGTTTAGCTTAGTCACCTTATTGCAAGCAATATGAGAGGAGAAGATATAAAAACATCTAACTTTGACCAATGTCACTGTCACCGCATAGCACTGGGGATAGGTGGATGAAGGCATGCAGGTGAGACAGGTGTGACTAGTGAGACAGAGTTGTTGAAATGAAGTCTGGTGACCCTGAATGGAGAGGAAATGTGAGTTGGACCTTTTACTGACAGTGAGTCTAACCATTCATGTGACCAGAGGGTGGGACTGCAAATGTATGCTGTATGTTGAGTCTAAAGTCGGAGTGTTCAGTGTCATGGCGGTGCCTCGCTTTTAACCTGCTAGATCTCCATGGTGACTGATGCTGTGGAGCTAACCTGGTCTAGAGCATGTTTTATTGAGAGTTCCGGATTTAAATCGGTTGGAAGAAGCGTCTCCCTTTAACCAAATCGTTTCCTGACAATTTTTAATGGCCGATACAGATTCTTAGCTGAGGGAATATGCTGTATCTGCAAACTTGTTGAGCTGTGCGTTCACTGAGTAAAGCCGTGTAGTTACAGTATCACACACTGTACATGTCAGCTGGTGATGCATCTGTCCATATATGTTTTTATGTTTGTTCCGTTTACCCTCCTGGTACTACAGCTCGTAAAACACAGATTAGAAAATTGATTATTCTACTGATACTTATTACAGACAGTATTCAATCAGTAGCATTAATTTCACTTTGATTTGGCCAAAAATTAAAGTGATATCCTGCATTATGAGACAGTCTCAGACCAAAATACACTTCAATGCAATGTCATGTTTAAATATGTCAAGCTTCAAGTTTAACAGCTTTAATGTGCAGCTGTCAGAAATAAAATAATTATGCACATTTGCTAGTTTTCTACTAGCATTCCTGTCTTGCATCATTTGCAGTAGCAGTGCTTACTCATTGTTCTCCATCATACCAACCTGTTGACTGAAGCACCTGCACATGGTCATTTCATTTTGTGTGGAAGAAGAGTCACGTGATGCATTAAAATGCTCAGTTTGAAGCCAAAAGCATGAGTTAACAAACAAAGTGGATAACCCCCTTGTGATGCCTGATATCTCTGACTGAGGCTTTATTTTTGTCAAAGCTACTTACACAAAGAAAGCCCGGCTATGTATAACTTGCTTCATATTATAGCCCTCGAAGGAAACAGCAGTACCAGGTTCCATTAACACTGAGAGTGGCTATAGTGTCATACAGAAAGGCTGGTTGTGGGGACTATTTCTTGGTTTGTGTCAGAAACCATGATAAGATGTATACATGCATCAGTATCTTCCTGCTATATGGCATAGCTGGTTATCTCAAAACTGGCATAAGGATTTTTCCCAGTATGTGAAATCAAGATGCGGTGTTTGCATTACAAACACAAAGACAGGGTACTTCAAAAAACTTGATCATAATAATCAGGATAATTAAGTCCATGTAAATGCAGCTATTAAGATTAATTACCTAGGAATATTGGGAAAATACACACACACACACACACACACACACACACACACACACACACACACACACACACACACACACACACACACACACACAAAACAAAACAAAACAAACAAACAAAAAAAAACAAAGACAATCCACCCCAGTGTTTTTTAGATTTTTCAGTCTGGACCAAAGTGTGAACTGAATGACCAACAAACCTGACATAAAAAAGCAACAGGTAGTCTTAAGCATACACACGTTTATTGGAAACTCCCTAAACAAGAGTGCAACACAAACTGATGCAAAGAAGCACAACACACACTTAGAACAGAATTACATTCACGCACACACATTCAGCTCACCTCAGTATCACTGTGCAATCTGAAGGAAAGTCCATTGAAGCGTAAATTGATCAAAATAAACTTGGGGTATAGCTCACTTAAATATTTGCTGCTGCTGCATAATCTAAGATTGTTCATTTGCATATCATAAGAAACAATGCAGAGTTAGATAAATGCTGATTACAGGGTGGATTTTTTTGTTGTTGTTGTATACAAAAACCTTGATTTGTTCCCACTGACGTTTTCAATCCAAGAGAAACAGCTCAGAGTTCCCACAACAAACACAGGCTCCAACAATCACACTTAGACGAGACGTATTAGGATTCCTTTGTTTTCTTCATGGACAAATTTCACACAGCTGCAGTTCTTTATTGTACAAGTATACAAACAGCAAAACACAGCTCAAAGAGTTCTCAAGGCCTGACATGCTTATTCATAGAAAACACGAATGGAACCGGCATGCCATTAAACAAAGATTCTTAAGTCTTACACTCTTTTTTTCTTCAGACACCTATTCGTAATAATTACTTTTGTTTTTAGATTACTTCTATCCCTTCAGTCCTTGTGAAGGTGAAATGACTGGGGGGGAAAATCACAGACTAACAAGCACTGGTTGCCCTTGAGCATTTGATTTGAAAAGAAATATGTATTCTAATTAACTTTTTTGTTCTTGCTAGAAAATTAAGTTTCATTTCAAAACAACACATCCACCATTATAAACAAACAATGGACACCTGCTGCTACAAAAGTATCTATAGCACCAAATAAAACCAGATCAGGGAATGATTCCAAGGATAGTGGGGAACTGAAATCCCTTATTGAAAAAGTGAAAATACTCACAGATATGACTTCTGAACAACACCCCCCCCATCCCCCACCACCTATATACACTGTACCATAGAATAGGAGAGAACTAAAGGACAAACACCAGACTGCCAAGTCAGGCAAACACACGTCAATAGAACATGATGCCTCTGTGTCACAATCACTTCATCCCCACAGTCTTCCTCAAGTCAGTGATCTCCAGGCCCGCGCTGAAAGACTGAATGGAGTCAGGGAGAAGGCTTCACTGTTACAGTCAACTCTTGCAGCCTTTTCAAGTCCCATCACAGAGTCTGATGTGCAGAGTCGAGCACCTTTATCCCTCTAGTGAAGGGCTCATTCTTTGTAAAGTTTCATTTTGTATTGCATCAGTGTGAGATAGGCCTTGTCAAACCCTACACGTACACACAGTTTTCAGAAGCTGCCAGTGGGTTGCATTAGTGACCGAGGCTTAGTTGTGACTGATTTTAATAAATGATGTATAAAAACAATTTTGAACAGGGAGAAGCTTTCCTCGTCTGCTATTGTGCCACGAGCCAAATTGTGCCCAGGATGAAGTTAAACAATGTCTGAACTTGAGGTCCGAGGTTTCCGTGGATTCTAAAATCACATGCGGTCCATTGACAGTGGACAAATGTCAAAAATAGGGTTCGCTAACATCCTGACAAGACATTACAATTACAAAATAACCTTCAACATTTGGCTTGCTGCTCATTTCACGCTGTTTTGATGTGCTGTCTTCTGCACCCCACCCCCCTTTCTTGAGTTGTCCACTACAAACATATAATGCTTACCTTCCTGTGAGGTAAGCTGAGATCGCGCTTTCCCATTAATGTCACAGCAACGACAAAAACCAAAAACCAAAAAAAAACACAGTAACCACGGCAACAAAATGATCCATCATTTCTAACAAAATTTGTAAAAAGGCTACAAATTGCTTTGTTGATAATAGGGAAACAGTAATCTGGCTGTGTGTCATTGCTGTTAACAAAGCACAGGGCGCGTACAACCCAAGCAGAGGAACAACAACAACAAAAAAAAAGCTACAAATCTTTGGTGTCTGCTTTATTTCAACGCGCCGTCCCTATATTAATAAATTATGGAACTGTAATGGATGAATAATACATCAAAACCACAGTCCTGTGTTCAGATCTGTCGCCTGCTGAATGCTAGATTGTCTATTTGTAGAGGCTGTGTCGGGGCTTGAAAGCCATTTGCGATGCTTGGGCAGTCCGTGGGGCACCTGATATAGTCCTAATGTCCTCGTAAGCAGCAGTGGCTGACCTCGGGTAATGAGGATTAATGCAGGATCAGACTGGAGTTTGTGCGTGTCCTGGCACACTTCTCCCACGCCATTCCCACCTGTCTGTTATTGATTGCGCTCATTGAGGGTTCACGTCCGCGTGAAGCCGACGGGAACATGTCGAATGCAGAGCTCGTGGAGAGTAAAGCCGGGCAGTGACACAGAGAGAAATGAGGGAGAGGAGATGTGCACGTCCTAGAGAATGGAGAGTAATGAGGAGATTCAGGCAAAGAGATATTGAATATTGTTTTCTGATATGGACCAGTGCTTCCACATTGATTTTGTATTTATCATTATGTATGAAGACCAGTGCAGCAAGTCCAGACGTCCCATCTAAAAATGCAGTGTACATCTATGGCTTTACTGAACACACACAATGTCATTTCATTTCTGATACTACATGCTATTGACTCCTATACTTTGTTTCTGAGTGTAGTTTATACATAACAGTTCATCTGGTTTGATATCGTGGTTTAATTGCTGTGACATTTCATGGGATTTTTATTTTTATTTTTTTATCTCCCCGACTGTCTTTTCCAATCCCCAGCCAAACAATGAATATACTTCAGCATAAAACAACCTGCCAACCATATCTCTCATTAAGCAAAAAAAAAAAAAAGTTCCAGCAAAAAAACTGGCAATATTTTCATCTTCCTTCGCAGCCATTAGCGAGACGTTTCCTCAAGTTTTCAGCATGTTTTTCTCTCTTCTCTCTCAGCGGTGATGTCCCATATTCGAAGATTCCTTTCATACATCGCATCTAAATATAGGCTTTAATGGCTGCTGAGCAAGAACCATGTTTAAAAAAAAAAGAAAGGAAGAAAATATAAACACAAAGGAACAGGGTGTCACCGAGACTGGGTGGAACAGTATGGAAATGTTTTTTTTTTTTTTTTTTTATTGTCCACTGGAATGTATACAAGAGCCAGTCAGTCTCTAGGAAAGAGGAGGTGGGCTTGACGGCTTGGTGAGGGTGTTGGGGGGAGTCTCGGTGGTGGCCACTAGTCATACTGGCCCTTCAGTCAACCCCTCCAGGGGCAAGGTGGTGGCGTTGTCGGTGGGCTGCGGGTCATCCTGAGGGTGTGAGGGCGTGTGGGAGGCAGCGATCAGGGTGGCGTAAGGCAGGTGGCAATCCATGTGCAGAAAGGGGGGGTAGTGCTGGCGGTAGCAGATGTATGCAAACAGCAACCCGATCACCCCTCCAACAAAGGCGTCTACAACAGCACAAAAACACATATAACTGAAGAACGCATCCATAGATAAACTTAGCTCATGTGGGCAATGAGAAACAACACCTGTTCTTAGAATCGGCACAGTTAATTAGCCATCTTTGTCTGTGCTGTGGTGTTTCAGTGAATGTTTATCATGACTGGCTAGTTCAGAGGTTGATAAAAGTAACATGAGAGGCGAAGCAATGAATCTATTCTACTGAGCACTGAGCTCACTTACCTGTGGACAGGTTGTCCCTGTCACTTTGTCAAACACTGAACAGTATTGTATTACACCTGTCCTCCTTTAAGTTGTAATATATCATATACTATCACAGTGCCATGGTGAATATTAAGCCTATATTGCCAGGTGTAGATCAAAATGACACAGCAAGCTGGTGTCTGAAGGAGCTGAAGTAGAGGCTTCCCTAATGTCAAAATATATTTTTCCATAGCTCTCACTTTATTTTCTCCGTCTGGCTGAAAGGGAAAATAATGTAACATCAATTTCCACCATTCAAGCACGCTACAATGCATGAGCTTGCTCTGCAAATGTTTCATCAACCCCTGTCAGCTGAATTTAATAGACTGTGACTTGATGCAATATATTAGTTTGTTGGCCTCATTGAGACTGTGATTAGAAGCCCAGTCTTTTCCTCTCAGAGGACAGAGTGCACCTCCAAAGCGCAAAAGGATGGTGAGAACATTAGTATCCATCAAGCATGGCGTAGCAACTCAGCTAATGGGGGCTTCCAGCTTGTGTTTACACAGGGAGCAGATTGAAGCCCCTCAAGTTTAATGGGCTGCACCACTGCTGCTTATTTACAGTCCACTGAGGACGGGGAGGAGAAGGAAATACAAAGATGACTCAGAAAGTGATCGGCTTGCCCATGACTACTGTATATGTTGCGCTTTGATGTAAATAAATCCTGGTTGTAAAGAGAGTTTAGTAGCTGCCCTGATACCCAGGAACATATGGCTCCCTAAAACTAATTAACACCATATGACAGAGCTGTCATCATATTATCACGTTATTTCCAACACCCCACCCACGTATACATTCCCTTCTCTCTGTTCCCTCAAGTCTGAAGCTCGCCATTATAATCTACTACCAATGATCCTGAATCAAATGTTACCTCACTGTCATTTGATGCAGTTTTCAAGAAACCCGAACCATTATGAAATAACTGAAACAAAGCAATCTCGTGAGACACAATTTTCAGCCTGTTGGGCAAACGCGCAGTCTGCCCAGCCTGACTTAGTGTACATCATTATGTTTTCTTTCCTCAATTTGTCAGTCATGCTGATTAAGTTACATTTTTTTGCACAATTACAGCTGTACAGCTGTTTCAAATGTAGGCCTGGTAAATTATCTGTGTCATAATTATAAATGTGCCATAAGCCACGTTTGATTGAAACAGATTTCGGAACATCTATCCCTCTCCAGCTGACAGAAGCAGATTTAACACCATGTGAGTTAAAAGGACGCAGAATTCATTTGACAGTGATTTTGATTAATGCAGAAAAATCACATTCATGCATCTGAGCTGCGGAGTGGACCTTGCCAGTGGTGTTTGTAGTCACAGGTCCGGGACAGTGCGATCATCATGGCACTGTAAAGAGGCAGCACCATGGCGCAGAGACGCCAGCTACGCCCTCGACCCTGATCCGTGAAACACTGCAGCTTCCCCGCCAAGTAGAAGGAGGTGAAACCAAGACCAGAGAACGCAACTAGCAGGGAGACAAAGAGAAACAAGAAAACAGGAATCGGCAGCGAACGTTACTCACAGCTTATAAATTGTTATCCCAACTGTGCAATCCTTTTTTATGTCAGTGTATGTGTATGTGTATGTGATGACAAAGCATTTTAGAGAAATGTAATGAAGGAAGTTGATGTTAGTGTTGCAGCTTGTCCACTGCAGGTAATCGCACTGAGGGATGGAATTGCAGACTGTCAGGCAAAAACCTCTGTGCTAAATCACTGTTGCAGGTGCCTGAGAGCAGACAATTACATTTACAGAGCTATACTAAGCACAAACCACACACTAAAGGAGACTTATTTAACAGCGTGCATACACTTGCAAACTGTTTATGTGGCTTCAGTGTTTATTGCACGTCACAAAATTAGGCTAGTAATGACCTGTTCCAAAGCAAACACTGCCGAGCAAAGATAAGGGACTATATAGGGCCCAAAGTTTACCACATCACGAAATCATTAGAGTTGATAAATTAGATGTATACATAGTTGCTGCACAACATTCATTTCGTCCAACAACTGTCCTCTGCATCAGTTGTGTTGAGTGCACAGTGAAAAATAAAGCCCTGTGAGTGAAGAGACCCCTCCTGCCTCAGCTGACGGTGGCCAGTGTAAGAAAAACAGCAGCCGTGTAATTGTACGAATTAAAGGTTGTGTGATGGAGCCATAAGAGGTGGTGCTGAGACAGGGCCAGTAGTTTACTGCTACAGCCGGCCAAACAGCACCCATCAGCACCCATCAGCTGCCCATTTGTCACTCAACCCACAAACTGGCCGAGAATACTAAGGACACCAGAACACGTGTGCAGCCTGTAGAGAGAGTGAGAGAGGAAGGATGGTGGGAAGAGGAGGCAGGAAGTCCAGCTGTCTCAGTGACTGTCCTGCTGTCAAGGAGTGGGAGTTGGCTCCATTAAAAACTCAGCATTTTCCATTATGCGGTGTGCACCAATATATTGGGTGGCTGCTTCAGCCCGATATTGGGTTTTTATTTCCAAATGGTTATACAGGTTGGAGGTTATGGATATATTACAGTTTGCTTGATTGGATTTTTTCCTTTAAAATGGATTCGTAAATTGAACTCCTTAGCAGGACTGAATGTAATGGTCTAATATGGGCTTTTTGGTTGGACTCCACTGTGTATGCTGCATCTCGCTGTTGTCGCTCACTGACGCGTCCAGCTGATGTGAGTTAAATGTGGCCAACAAAGGGGCACAGGCTTGAAAAGTAAGCTGTGCCGAATTGTGTGGACCACATAAATGCAAAAAATCATGCTTCTGGGAGGATATACGCAAATGCTTCTGCTTATCTACAAAGAAAATAGTGTTTTGGTTGACTAGTTGATTGTAGAGGCTCTCAGCCAAATCATAACAACACATTGTGCACCTCCAACAGGCTTACTGGTAGACTCGAAATGAATCACTAGAAGTGAAGTGGACCCAGATCCAAAATCCCAAAAGAAAAATATCAAAAGTATAAAGCTGGGAAGGCACTTATAGAAAATCAGCCCTAAGCTTTAAAGTGGGCCAGCACATGATAGACTGAATCCACCAATAAATAAAGTTAACAAATTCAGTCAGTTGAAACAATCCACATGGAGATCAAGGAAAATATGAATCACGCTGCAAGTTAATTGGCACCTTGTGGTTTATAAAACCCTGCACATAGTCATCATCACTCCCACAAAGTGTACCCCATGGGTTTTTGTACACAACAACGCATTACTTTTCAGGCTCTCTTCATCAGTCCTTCTGTTCGGAGGTTATAAACAAACCTGTAAAGATGCACAACCTCAGCATCCCTCAATGTCCATTCATCTCACTTCTGGGCAATCTCTCCACATTTCCAATCACATGGTAGTGCAGCAGCTCACACCATTCATTTTAATAGCTTTAACTGTGCCTAAGACAATTTCATTAGTCATTTGGAAAGACAGAACTAAATTATCCATGAGCCGCACACTTGGTCTGCTGACTGAACATCTTAACTTTCAAAGAGCAGTTTAACAGGAGAAAATCGTGCCTTTCCGGGATATCTTCTTATAGTTTCTGCAGCGCTGATCCCTCATCACCATAGCATTAACTGAACACCGAAAGAAAAGCGTCAGTTAATCATAATGTGCTACGTCATTTACACTATTTGACTATAATACACGTTCTAATGTGTGTCTTCTCTTCTTCTGTATTGCTGTTATGGATCGAAAAACATTTCCTACATGGTATTTCTCTGTGAAGACAGCAGTGGCAATCCAGTTAACAGCTGTTACCTGTTATCATTCAGAGTGACATGAGCTGGAGCTTATTCAAGCGGCGAGGGAGGCAGGGAAACACCTCGGACAGGTCACCAAACTCTCAGAGAGCAAACACATCATTATTCGCTCATAGTTGGCAATTTAAAATATACAATAGAGTCCCTGGTGATTTGTGACATATTTGCACCTACTTATAGCTGCTGCTTCAGTCAAACATTTTGGCATGCTTGATTTCAGACATTAAACTGTGCTAATGATCAGTTTAAACCTACGTCTAACACAAAACTTTACCACATCCTTCTACTTGTTTTAGAATTTACTCATAGAAAGCACTGACATGAACAGATTAAACCTAGTCAACAGAAAAAAAACCAAACAAACTGTGTGTGAATTTCTAAGGTATTATGAAAATGGCGCATTGTAGGAGAAACTTGGACAGTAACAGGAATATATATATATATATATATAAAATACACAACCAATATGTCTGCAGACACAGTGAGTCAACATCTTGAGGATTAATCCACTAAAAATGCCTCAGCGATATGAATAATACATGAGCTGGAGCTGTCCCGCACACGCTACACAAAAATAAACACAAACACATTTCTTGATGTAAAATTAGCGTAATTAACTAAGCCAGTGGGTTATACCATGAATGCTAGGTTTATCCAATATCTGTTGATGGATGCTCCTCGAGACGCAGCAGGAGTCCCCCCCGACAGGCCAGAGGACAGAGAGGAGGCCAAGGAAGGCAACAACATCATCACGATAATGAATCCGCTTCATGTATTTCAAAAGCCTTTAATGGTAATTCCCCTGAGAGAAAACAAAGACGCCTAATGAGAGTGATGAGCACAATGTGATTGCTTTGTTCATTTTCAAGCAAACACAAGGTTTGTCCAGAAGTTTCAACCAATTCTAAATGCACTTTTTCAAAGCAAATGGGAAGTGTGAATTTCTGCAAACATTTTGACACACCAGTGACAAAAATTAAGAAAGGAATAGAGAAAAATAAAAACTAAAAAAAAACTAAAAAACTTTTCAGCCACATTGCTGTCTTAAATCTTAGGCAAAATATGAAGGCTTAAGGAAGCACTCAGTGCCTGAATATGAAAATTCTCCATCAGACAGAGTTGGCATGTTTAACTATGGGCGCATGTGTTATCTATGAACCCTATTGAAACCAATCAGTTACTTAAACTCCAGGCATGTCTGAAGGACATAAAGGTCTGGATGACCTGTAACTTCCTTCATTTAAATTCAGAAAAAACTGAGGCTATTGTATTTGGCCCTAAACACCTCAGAAACTCACTATCTGTCCAGATAGTTACTTTAGATGGTATTGCCTTAGTGTCTAGTTCCACAGTAAAGAACCTCGGGGTTACTTTTGACCAGGATATGTCCTTTAACTCCCATATAAAACAAACATGTAGGACAGCTTTTTTTCATCTTCGTAATATTGCTAAAATCAGGAGCATCCTGTCTCAGAGTGACGCTGAGAAACTAGTCCATGCATTTATAACCTCTAGGCTGGACTATTGTAATTCTATATTATCAGGATGTCCTAATAGTTCTTTTAAAAACCTCCAGCTTAGACAGAATGCTGCAGCCAGAGTTTTGACAGGAACCAATAAAAGAGATCATATTTCTCCAGTATTAGCTTCTCTCCATTGGCTTCCTATAAAATCAAGGATCCAATTTAAAATCCTGCTTCTAACATATAAAAGTCTTAATGATCAGGCTCCATCGTATCTTAAAGACCTTATTGTTCCATATTATCCTAGCAGAGCCCTTCGCTCTCAGACTGCAGGTCTACTGGTGGTTCCCAGAGTTTCTAGAAGCAGAATGGGAGGCAGAGCCTTCAGTTATCAGGCTCCTGTCTTATGGAATCAGCTCCCAGTTTGGGTTCGGGAGGCGGACACCCTCTCTACCTTTAAGATTAGGTTAAAAACGTTCCTTTTTGATAAAGCTCATAGTTAGGGCTGCTCGGAGTCATCTGAGCTGCCCCTTAGTGATGCTGCTATAGGTTTAGACTTCCCATGATGCACTGGGCTTCTCTCCTCTCCTCTCCTCTTTATATATATATATATATATGTGTATGTATATGTTTCTATAGTTGCCTATCACCATTATATATGACTAACTCTGTGACTCCCCCCGAGGTTCTCCTGCGCCTGCTCTCTCTGTGGATGTCTCTGGATCTGGAGCTCCTGAATTACAGCCGCTGGCCTCACCTTCTGTATCCTGCTGCCCCCACCATGATGCCTCCTGTTACAAAAGGACAATAAATTCTAATAACTTGTTTAACTGTAAACTACATTTTATAATTCATCCTACATCCACCCAACCGGTCGAGCCAGATGGCCGTCCCTCCCTGAGCCTGGTTCTGTCGGAGGTTTTTTTCCCCCGGGTTTTCGGTTCCTTCCCACTGTTGCGGACTGCTTGCGGACTGCTGAAGCTTATAAGGAATCCAAATGTTTTGGATTGTTGGGTGTTTCTGTCTCTGCCTTTGTGAAGCGCTATGATATGACTTGTTGTTGTAAATATGCGCTATACAAATAAAATTGAATTGAATTGAATTGAATTGAATTGAATTAACTCCATCTAGGTGCATTCAGTGTGTCATCGCTATTACCTGCCACCTGACATAATCCTCACCGAATCTTAAAAACATTTTTTTTTTAAATTTGCTTTTTGATTCTCTTTGACGTGTTCCCGTAAGTGGTTATAAGTTGGTCATCGGGAGTCTTCGGTCATGTTTTGTGCAATAATTTCTGTACTGAAGCAATATTTTTGCAACATGTTTGAGTTTTAAGTGAATTATTTGAACTCGCTTGTGTTTCCCTTAATTTGAAGCACATTAACTTTGGTGATCTTGTGAAGTTTCTTCAAAAAACAGCATCAAGTCAAACTTTTAATTTGTCCAGTACATTGGTCAAAGCAAAAAATATTAAATTCTAATAGTCCCTCCAGAACTAATTACATCCTCAGATACTTTGTGTTTACTGATAATTACAGAATATTAACCATGCAAAATGCTTAACCAAGAGAGTAAACATTTCAAACAGGGTTTAAATTGAGTGAATGTAGCAGGGCTGAGCCATTGGGGAACGGTCAAACTTTCAGCATCTATTTTCAATAATGTATATATTTTTACGGTTCTCTGTATTTACAATTCAAGCTATGACTTAAGTACACTAGTACCATCAGATCGTCACCCCATCACTGTCAATGGGTTTCCCCAAAAACCTCCTTGCAGACCCATTCTCTCTATGGCCTGTCAGAAGGTGAAGATGGGAGGCAAAGTGAGAACTAAAGGGGTATCTGGGGGAGCTCGTCTTCTCTTATTCAGACATGAGCTCCCCTGAAAATATGATTTGGGAAGCTTTAGAGGGTTATCAGTGTACTATTTTTGCCATGATTTTTTTTTTCTTTATCTGTACCTTCATCATCAAGGATTGTACAAAAAAATAGGCTATAATTGATGTATGATTCATACAGGAGTGGGAGTCATGCTGTTCTTGCTATCACAGTCTAAGAGTGGTGGCACAATATCATAAACTTCACTCCATTTAACTCAAAGACTAGAAATAAAAACAAATTTTCTTAATGCTTAATGCTGCAAAACAAAAAGCATGGAACCTAACCGTCCGTGGGGATGCGGCGTCGGCAGCTCTATTTAATTTGTTTTTTTATTCTTGTCATTGCTAATCTTAGTAACAAGAATACTATTACATAAAAGTTTACTGTAATGCATTATAAATGTTGTATTTTTGACTGTGATAAAGTGAGGTCTCCCATAAGTCATGAAGTAGTTCATATCCTACTGGCATGGATAGATGAATAGCAAAGTCTAGTCATGGGTCAGAAACTGACATTAGAGACCTCATTTCTTAACTTAATGTAAATTGGTCTGATATTCTACTTAAACGACTTACATGCTGATTTTTGCTAAATGCTTTTTCACAAGATGTAGGCTTCTTTAAGACAAGTCTTACATTAAACTCAAGTTCAGGCTAAACTTTTGAATGGCTTTAGCAGAATTTTTGAATCACACAATGACATCAACATAGGCTAGTTTTATAATTTCCAGGCTGTGACGTCATTCAGATCTGTGTATATTTTAATACTATGGAATGTAAAATAATATATCTTCCTATGTGATTCCTGTTTTGATAGTGAAACACAGGAGAGTGCCTTAACAGAAAGGTTTGTCAAGCAGATCCTAGTTATAGTTTATGCACTGTTTATTACATGATATAAAATATTGTCTTTCAGCTGTTTTTGATTGAAACGTTTGTATGTAAAAATATGTGCCTGTCGCTGCTTCATGTTACAAATTCCGATTTACCCCCTGATAGCAAACATTATCCCTGCCAAACGTTCACAATTCCAACATGCATATGTTAGCATGCTTATATTAGTATTTAGCTTGCCGCGTAAGTAGAGCCACAACAGAACCCCTACTGTGGCTGTAAACGTACACCTCTGTTCCTTTTTGCAACTGCAATTGTACAAAACTTCAAATTCTACTCCATCAGCAGCTTCATCATTATTTCCCTAAGTATCACTGTGTGATGGAACAGTTTCCTTCAGCACCACTCAAGACTGACAACACTGTGGAATGCATATTATTATGCTTTCCATCTCTCAGCCTTCCCTTCGCTCTCCCTCCTGTCTTGACCTTTAACCCCTGTAGGGAACAGCGGGACACCGCTCTGACTCTCACCAGAACTAATGCATATTAACCAACCACTTGGGCTCAGAGGCTGCTTTATCCATTAACATACAAAAGCTCAACAGAATCTCCTTATTAGCGCTGTATAATTGCTGCTTCACTCACTCTCCGTTGAAGAGTGCCTGTCGGTGTTATAGTAATAATATAAGACCGCACTTTGCAGAAGTTCAATTGTCTCTAGATGCTGAATTAATATGATGGACACTGCAAGCTATGGTTAATTTAAAATAGATAGTTGTGTATAAGTGAATGAAGCAATGTGGAGATTCAAAGATGTGATTAGGTCTGTCTCACAGGATTCATTTAGGCATCACACAGAATGTAGATGGTAAAGATGACAGATGGTTTTGAAAAGTGTATATTAATTGATCATATCTAATGGCTTAATATGCACAAGGGGGAATGGTGAGATGAATATGAATAAGGAGCAGACAATTACTGCTAATGCCTGAGGGCCTTCTTGCTTTACCGCTGTCTATATTGGTGCAGTGAGTTCAGGGGAGTTGGTATTTATCTGTTTGTTTTTCTCTTTCTGGGACTTGTCTCCTCCAATCTTTGTTATTCTCTTACTTTGCTGTGAGGTGAAGAAAAGAATCTAATCACAGAGAACCTGGGCAGCCGTAAAAACTTTGAAATGCAGTAATAATAGTGTTTAAAAAATAGCTGTCATCTAAAACAGAAGTCTGGTGTATATTTATATCTCTGTCCAGGCTGATTCTGATGGATTAGGTTGGGTTATAGTTTACCTTGCAGATTATAGTATCCCATGCTGCTGTAATCTGCTTGTATGTGGATGCATTTCGGAGTTTCTGAATGCAAAAGTGTTTATTTTTCCTTATAGTCTGTGCCTTGGGCTTCACACCCGCCAGAAATGATGTTGTGTTGCAGCCACATGCCACTTTAAATAAGGCTACATTCACTCTAGTCATCTGTCTGGCCCTATTCCTTCATCCCTTGCCACATTTGTCTGGGTAAAAGCTCTGTAACTTATGCGTGGTCCAACAAGCACTGTCTGGTGAAAAGGGACACAGACAGGAAATTGGATTTCTTCTGCTCTCTAGACGTGCTGGCATATGGGTGCTCCCTGTGTCCCCGTCACACTGTTCTCTCAATCACTTTCTTACTCACAGTGCAACAACATAAGGCTATTAGAGCTGTCTCACAGATGAATGTAATCCATACCCAATGCTGCAACCACTTGCACAGCATCGTCCCTCTGCCATTTCTAATGGGACACAGCCAGCACTTCAAAGCATTTCTGTCTTACAGCAGGTGTCTGTGAAAGTTATAAGCATTAAACTAAGATATTATACTAAACATCTATTTGAAATCGGGCTGGACTGTGAAATTACAGCCGTCTCTAACATCAATGAAATTTTTTTTTTTTACTCGCTAAGCCATGTCATCCATTATGCTGTCTTGGCATGTTATTGTAACGAGCAGAATCCAATAATCTCCTGTTTGATTAGAAGGCTGTTGCAGAGTAGGTCAAGGCAGTCACACTGATTAAACACGTTCTCAAACCATTTCTAAAACACTATGTTTCTTGCACACATGTATGCCCCACACATCTCAATGCTGTTTGTCCCTGAACTAATATGTAATACAAATAGAGTTTAGGACATTCATGACATCATGATTTTCACTTCTTCTCAACATGGCTGTGACAATCGAATGGATGCAAACATTTGTTTCTATCTCCCTGCAGTGGCATAACTACCTTGTAAACTGTGAACATGCATTTGGAGTGGAAGTGTAATAAGAATGTGAGAAAAAAAAAACAATATACAGAAATATCAAGCATGGCACAGTTGAGGTGAAGCTCACGAGAGGATATACAGTTTTTCTTTTTGACTGTTTTAAATAATGAATAGCATGAGGCTCAGTGTAATTTAACTGTAGGCATTATGAGTTGTGGACTTTAAAAAGGCAAACAGAGCAAGGAGGAAAAGCTTCAAAGCCACACAGTCACATGCTGTATGTTCAGTGGCGGCAAAGACCATTAAGTGATGTTCTCACTGATGTGTCTTTTTAAATGTTGTCTTTACGTGCTTGGAAAACCATATAATACTGAGGGTTTGTTTTTTTCTGGATGGCCCACAGCAAACACCCTGTGCATACCACTTAACACTCATCGGCTGGACAACAGAAAAAACGTGAATTAGTTCACATGCTACTGTAGTGAAAACAGCTTGGAAAGCCATATGGTGGAGAAGATGTCCAGTGTCCCACATTGGTCTGAGCACAGCAGAAATTTGGATAAAGTTGAAACAGTGGGTGTGTGTTCACCTCTCACTTATCGAAGAATGAACACACTTGACTCAATCTCGACAAGCTGCCTCAGGATGAATCAGTAAATTGAATGATAACTCATCGCTACATGATGTAATTACCTTTGAAGAGAGGCAGCAACAAGAAACACCTTGTAAACAGCCAGTCAGCAGCACACATGGACATTTTCTACTTGGTGAAATGCTACTCAGAGCATCAAGATCAAACTGAGTGAACTACTGTTGTATGCAGTTTTAATGAGTCAGTTCTGATATATTTTGCCGTTGTGTTGCATGTGCTAGTAGTGATTCTCCTGCTTTGTGATACTCACAGGATGAATGGCTGCTGGGGAAGCTCTTGCGTCCCTCTGAGACCAGTTCAGGTTCCCCGGTGCACAGCATCTTTGCATTCACTTGTCCGTCTGGGAAACAACGCTGGAAATAGTCTGGCCTGGGTCTGGAAATGAAATACAATCCAAAAGATGGTTTCAGTAGTATCCAATTTATTTGTCAAACAGTCCACCGGCATTATATATAATAAGCGATCTCATGTGATCAGAGCATACAGCTACACATTTAGTATCAGTGACAGAGCTGGTAAAATGCTTCAGTTTGTTTAGCGTACCTGCCAACAATCAACTTGATGGTATTTGTGAAGACTCCATTTAGGGCAAGAGCCAGGGACACAGCTGGAGAAGAAGAGACACATATAAACAGGCATCATTAGCGTTGTTTATTGTGGTAGCTGGTGAAACAGATGAGGTTGACATTTTCAGTGTAAGAAACCTAAATGGAAACAGTGGTGTTGTTGTAAGTGAATGGATTTTGCTTTTAATGCAACACAGGTTCTGGCAGATGTCCAAATCTTTTGATATAATAAACTAACAGAAACAGCCATTTGGGTCCAAGGAAATTTCCCTCATGGTTGGACAGATGGTTGTCAGCATTTACATGTGAAAACCACCTTTCATGATGCCTGAGCAGCAGCAACAGCAGCAGGCAAGTTTTAAGCACAGCGTAGGCTTCACTGGAAGCCCTACGTGGCTGTTCATAGGTACAGCGGTGCTTTTAGCAAAATACTAACTTCAGTAGACACAATGACAAATTATAGTGACTTTGCAAAAATGCTAATGTTTGGATGACATGTACCATGCTGTATGTGTGCGTTAGCTCACTAACATTAGATTATTAGCACTGAATACAAAGCACAACTGAGGTTGATGGGAATGGGAGTGAGATTTTGCCAGTATTTTACATAAACCAAAGTGCTGCACAGATTTTTATTTATTTATTTATTTTTTAACCTGCAAAAGTCAGGGATCATCACAGTTATTGAACCTCTTCGTTCTAGAATGTCATGTAAAATATCATGGCAACTGATGCGTCACTACAACGCCATTCTGGACATGGATGTGATGTCCATCCACAGAACCATGCAAGCCAAGTATAAGTGATTAAAATTGCACATAACTGGCAGATTTCCACTGCAGGGACCTATGTGCTGGTTTAAGGCAACCTGAGATTTTGTGCATGCTTCAACTGCAAGAACCACTTTTGTAGAACCTCTTTGAGAGTCTTTTTGGAGGGAGAAAAGCACCGACTCAAGGGTAAGTGCTTCTGGCTGGCCCTAAACCCTACTGTCTCCATGCTGATTGGTTAAACTCTAAGAGGACAATGAGTGCATTTTTTTCGGCTTTCTCTTGCTGAGTAAAAGTTTTCTCCTCTCTAAAATTTCCATCTTAAGCATAAAAGTCACCATGTAACATTGTAGACCCTCTATTGCTTTATTTTGTATGTGCACATGGAACTGAAATCACATCCAACAGCTACTGTTTGTTGTTTTGGCACACTCAGAGTTATGGATGAAGTTGCCCGATGCAGTGGACTGGATCCAATAGATCCAATGGAAACAGAAAGGCTCATTAGTGGCCATTCACATAAATGTTCACCTGCCCTGAGTTCCTGCAGTGAAATTAAAGCTGGCAAATAATCTGTTGGCCAGATTTCTTAAAGAGAGAAAAAATGTGAGTTAATATCCCAGCAGTGTTAGCGACAAAGTGATTGTGGCAATCTAAAGCCTAATCTGACTGTGAAGCAATTACTGCTGCAGGTCAACGTCTGGAATGAAAAACAGAAGGGCCGCAGTCGGTTGACAGGTAGGCATTCCACCGTAACTGTACGTTCATTTAATTAGCCATAAAGAAAACCACTGGGGCTCATCATTAGCCAGAGTGCTTGCCCTCATAGGTTAATCCTAGTAGTCTCCGGGGGAATTGGATTCACCCCACGTTGGCAGCCCTCTAATGTATTATCTGCATGTGCTGCTGAGAAGAGCACTGTGTCGATGTTATTTAACAGCTTGTTAATTTGGGGAAAACTCAGTGCAGATCAGATGAAAGCCTGAAGTGAAATATGTTCAACCAGTTCAAATGTGTGACATTAAATGGCAGTGCACTCTCTTTAACAGATCTCTCTCAGGTTTTGTACTTTGGGTATTAAACTGTTGCTTCACCTTGATGCCGTCAGATGTAGCTGAAGCCTCAGGATGCTTACTGATCTGATTGTCATTTGCAGACTAATTAACTTTTGTAGATCCAAAGCCAACAGTAGCGCTGGCACTGTCTGATAGTCAATGTTTTTGCAATTACCCCTGTTTGTTAATTTGCTGGCATTAAATGGGCTAGTTTCTGCTGAATTAGCTTGAGTAACTGCCATTAGCTGCTGCATAGTCATGTGACTTATTGTATATTCCCAATTTGTGATCCTGTGTCTGTAGTTTAGCTCTAACTTGCCTCATATCTGCTCATTTTGAAGCATCGCTAAAGGAACTGGATGAGATTTGCCCACCGCAAGAGCACCTGCTGTATTCATCCTCCAAATAATGTATTCAACCTGCATCTGTCTCTCCACCATAATGGGCTGTGCTACATTTAGGTTGTGCTTATGCCTCTGATCACCAAAATTGGTCACATTCACATGTACAGGCTCTAGAGTTTGCTCTAGTGATTGAACCAGGGCACAGTTTCAGGAAATTAGGGGCCTATTGAAAAAAAAAAAAAAAAAAAAAAAGACAGAGTTGCTACCATTACATCACCAAAGTTCTTCTTTTTCAGTTCCTGCAAAAGTTCATTTGTTGAGTTTGAGAAAAGCCTTGAATGTGAAGCTTGAATATTTTCAATAATTCACTTTTATATCTTGAGGGTGGAAGCTTTGACACAATAGTAAAAATATGCCCAGACACACTATTGCATTAATGAAAATTATCGATGTATCTTATTTGAAGATTACTCCCCATACACACAATAGTGCTTCTGCTTGCTATGCAATCTCATATTCAAATGATGAATAATGTTATTCGTGCTTTGTTTCCAAAATGAAAAACAGTTACTGCAGAATCATCACAGTGCCATTCTCAGAGTGTACCCTTCTGGAAAATATAATCAAACTTCCAAAATGGCTTCATTACATCCTGACTGATAGATAATCACATAATTAAGCGGCAGGACTTTGGAATGATAAAGGGTTATTAGATAAGTCTGTTAAAAGGGAACAGTGTGTTCTTCTTCATTCCAAAGAAAAAAAATAAAGAGGCAATGAAATAATAGAATGTAGTGTATCAAACAGTAAATGCATTGTATTAGCAAAACAAAGTCGCGTTGGTATTACAAGAGTGGAACTCTATCTCAAAAGCCATGATTTTTGCAAGCACAATTATATCTGTTTGAAGATTTAATTCATGAATTCGGAATTAGAGGACCCTCGGGGACAACTTTGAACTCCTTGAATGAGCGAGAATATAGGGACAGCTGCTATTCTGTGATTTAGCCCGGGATGAAAAATAAATAGGTCTGTAGGTAGTTAAAAATAAACTACTTTTTTTTTTTTTTTTTTTTTTTTAACAACACATCCAGCCGAAGAACTGCTCTCTGATGTTTCTTTCTCATTAGGTTGAGAAGTTTGGTTTCAAAGCCACAGTTGAAATGTAGAAACTTGTCAGAATAATGGTCTTCGTTTTATTCTTTGTTCTTCTGAATGATGTTATTTTCCAGTGCAGCATGTGGAAGTGCTTCTCTGCGGGCGGTAATGGGCCTGTTAAGTTCTACACAGCGCTGTAATCTCTGCACTGATGCACTGAGCCACCCTCTGTCCACCTAATTCATCTTCGTGTGACTCTTTAATTGGATCTATGTTAAACTTTTTTTTAACAGAAACGGAACGGGGGGGGGGGGGCTGTATGTAAGAGACCAACGCCCAGATGCTGTTAAAAAAAATGAAACAAATAGCATGAAATTTTAAATGGGTATACACTTATGGCTGCTGTAATTGAGATTAAGTTGTGCAGGACCAAACTGACAGCAACACGAGGCCACAAAGTTGAAAGATCTGTGCCATTAAGCATTATAAAGCACTTCTATATGTGGCCAATTAGCCCATGCTTCCAGGCAGAACTGGTGAAAAATGAAAGATATTAAAGAGCAAAAAAATTAGAAAGAGGAAGGTTTTTACTCACAGTTATTAAAACACTTAATCCAATACAGTATGTGCCGCTAAAATGTGCTGTCATTTTAAGATCTCTCAGACTGGGCTGACTTTCAGTAGGCAAAGAAAGCAGCTCCACGCACCTAAACATGCCTCTTTGATCTCTGTCTTGTCCGTCCTCTGAATTATCTTCACCACAAATATCACCGCCAGTGGGGTAAGGAAAGAAATTGCCTGTGAGGAAATAAACACAAAAACAAATGTGCAGTTATTACTGTGACATTAGAGATGCACTGCAGTGTTCCACTGGGCCTGTTTGGCAGGTTAATCGTAAAATGACTTCGGCCTCAGGGAGCGACCCTGGCCTATCCATTACACTGAGTTAATTTTAACAAGACAAACAGAGGAGCCTCTTTTATTGTTCAGATGCTCTTCATGCTTGTACTGAGAGAATTTTTGCCCCTAACTTGATAAGAGATTTGGCGCTCCCCAGCACCAAGCTAATTATTCATGCATCAGAATGTATTAATTACTTTCTGGTCAAATTCAATATATTTACTTTGCCTTAAGCAGCAAAGGTAGAAAAAAAAAGAAAACAAAGGCAGGGTTTCAATTCCATTATTATAACACACACATTGCATTTCCCTTGAGCACGGTTTATTAGTTCGGCGTGTATCTGTGTATCTCTGCCAATCATAAGCTAATTTTACACCTCACTATTCCTTTGAAGGAGCTGGATTCAAACTTGTGATCACACTTGGATTCACTTAAAAGTGCAGAAACAGTTGCTCTCCGAATCTAAGATTAAATCGACAGTTTATAAAAAAAAGAAAAGTTTTTGTGACACGGGTGCAAACATGGTACAGTACAAAATACAGACACCCTATTGTAGCTATAAAAAACACAACACAAACCTGAACATACAGCACAGTGCAAGTTTAAATGCAACACATGCAATATTATTGATAGTTTCACACGATATCGGACATCCTGTGGATTGAAACAAATTTCAATTTTTTAGTCTTTTTACAATGTACAAATCAGTTACAAATTCAAATACTGATTGCACTAAAAGGTTTCCTGGAGGAAAGAAAAAAAAAAGGATTGAAACAACAAGGTTGTGGTCACTCAGCAGCAAGTAGCCTCCATTGCATTTACCAAAAATGCACCCTGTGTCTGTGGCCTTTGAGTCGCAGTGGCACCCATCACTTCCTCACTGAGTTTGTGATGAATCCGGAGGGGAAAAAAATGCGTCTTTGTTTGGTTGAGATTTTCCAGTGGTGGAATATAATCAAACATATTTACTCAAGTACTGTATTTAAGCACACATCAGAGGTACTTATGTGTTTCTTTCTCCTTCTACTCTACTATATTTTAGTGGTGAATAATGTACTTTGTATTAACTATATTTATCTGACAGCTTTAGTCACTAGTTACTTTACAAATTAAGATTTTTGCACACAAACATATGAACTTAGACATTATGTTTTGTTATAAATCAACAGTTGAAACAAGTAGTCACTGATCAGTTAGTCAATATATAAAAAATGTCATCTATTTTGATAATCATGTAACTTGTGACAGCATTTCTTTCTTTTGTTTACTCAGTATTTTAGCAAATCAGTCAAACAATTAATGGAGAAAATAATTTGCATATTAAGCCATAATGGAAAGAAAAAAAAAAAAAGTTAAAATGAGCTCTATCCCAACCAGCTATAAGTATAAGATCCTGCTTTTAATTATTACAAGAGCTGTATTAATCTTGACATATCATAGAAGAGTCAGAGGTGACATTTTTCTACATTAAATACTTTTATTTTTCAAGTACATTTCAGTCCTTATAATACTTCAATTTTTTAAAAACTTGAGTGAAATTTCCAATGCAGGACTTTTACTCGTAAAAGTGTGCTTCCACAAAGTGGTAATAGTACTTTTTCTTAATTAAATGATGGGAACACTTCCTCCACAACTAAGAATTCCACATATGCCTTGTGACACTATAATCAGTTGGTTCAACTTTGTGGGCTGACTTGGCAGCTGATGCTGACAGTGTTTTTTTGCCTAAAATGGCATCCTGAGAGTATAATGCAGCTGTCAAAGAGGAGAAGAGTCAAGTGTAAATGAGGAAAGCAGTACTTATGAGGATCTCTGTTGCCATGGAAACACATTAAAGTGTCCAAAAACATCTTAAAGGTTTGACATGAATGGCTGATTATGTCATAATATTTTATGGACAATTTAAAGACAGTTATAAAAGAGGATTATATCATTTCATTAAAAGATGAGACACACTTTGGAACATGTATTTTTCACACTCGGATGTCCTTGGATGATTATTTTATAACTCTATGAAGACTACAAACTGTCAGTATATCAGTTTACTGTAGAGTTTTTTCCAAAGCTCGTATAATTATGAATTCCTGCCTCTTTTCTATGGCTGAACAAGATAAATTCACATGTTTATTTGTGTAAATCTCATTAAAACAGTTGATTAGATCTGTTTGCCAAGTGCCACCATGAGGATGGACCACATTTAGAGAGCAAGAGATCTCGATAATTCTCTGAATACTTGATTTTGATTTTGTTGAGTTCCTTCTTGAAATGGTCATTATACGTGTTTAGTCCCTCTCCAGTTCTTGCTTTAATCCCTAAAAATCATCTCAGTGTATCAAAGCTACATATTTGAAAGATTTTTTTTTCATTAAAATAATCATTTCTGTCTTAAAATGGCTTAGATGTAAGTCTACAGCCATTAAGGTTAAAACCAGAAACCATTTCTGAAGACGAATAATGATACAGAAAGCTCCAACCTGCAAGCTGACAGGATTGGTACCTTAGTTGTTGTTTTTTTTTTTTTTTTTTTTACATATAAAACACTGTGAGTCTAAATTTGTGTTTTATTATTTGTCAACAATCTTATGCAGCTTTAAGGTGGAAATGCTCAGCAATGGTGTTAACTGCTTATTTCGCTCATGATGTGTCCTCTAGGAAATAATAAAACACAATACGATTTCCACCAGAAGGAATATTTTATCACACAAGCTTTGCAGTAATGAGAACAGCTCCGATTTCCATTTTCAGACCCTGATTTGAGAGCTGCAAGCTACAACATGAGCACATTCTATGGACTGAAGTGTGACCTTTGGCTATACTAATCCAAAGGTATGGAGTCAAAGACCACTGGGCCCGGCAATAAATATCAAGCACTTCTCATAATAAGCACAACTCTTGAGGCTGCACATAGGTTAATACCGTACATATCTTAATGAAGGTCAGTGTACCTCCATGTAAATCGCCTCCATGGACTTCTTTTAATGGCCAGATAAATTCTCCACACCTTCAGTGCCATTGTCAGAGCAATGACACTGAACAGGTCTGACTGTTGGGTGTCGGCACACTGGGATTAGTTTCCCAAGAGGCATGTAGGTGCGATGGGGGGGAAGGGGGCTTTCTTTCCAACTTATAATTTTGAAGCCTGTCACCAGCAAAAGATCTATAGACGCTGAAGTTAATATAAACTGTCAACATTTTTATAAAGAATGTCGAAAAAGGAAATAGAAATAATAGAGTGCAGACAAGCTGTAGATAGACTCAAACGTTAATGTATTGCTTTTGGCTAGACAGTCAGCTGCACAGACAAATGGTGGAATTGTAAATGTTTGTGTGTGTGTGCGTTTACTGCTTGATTGGTAGTGCTTTCTATGATTAATGCATTTCCAAGTGCTTATCGCAAAACAGCCATCAAATGAGTGGTTGATGAGTAATTTACTGCTCTTTTTTCGTATGTATGAGCAAATCCATTTTGGTTCATATATTAACCGTTTGTTTGTTGTGTGTATAAAGGCTTCTAAACATCATTAAGAGGTGACAAACTCAGGCTTAACATGCAGCACCTACTGCTGCCATTTAATCTATTCAGGCATTTTTATATGGGTTGGAAAAGCACTACGTATTGTAAAGTTTATAGCAGCTGTCATTTTTCTAGCTTGAAGTAATTGTCAGTTAAAGCTCACCACCTACTCTGCAGCTGTTTCTGCACATAATAAGATGACTGAAGTATGTGGATGAGCACGGGATGGAGTGGAAGAGCCAGTCGTTCAAATGCTGCTGACAGTTTGCAAAGAGGCGAGCAAAATAAGCAGTGGGCAGGAAAGTCTTTATCAGTTGCGTTGGTTTGATATGTTGATTAAACAACCGAATAGAAGGTCTTCTGATGAGGCAGCATGCTGACAAAGACGTCCTTCTGCACACAGGAACACATATTAACCTGTCTGAGAAATGAAGGAAAGCTGGAGACGATCAAGATAATTCAAAACCTAGAGACATTAGTGTGTAATTGGATTTCTAATGGCATCATGAAGCTTTTTTTTTTTTTTTTTTTTTAAACATTTTTTTTTTACTGCTGTTACAAGACAGTGCAGCAACATGCCCTGATCATCACCACATAATACCCCAGTATGAAAGTTGTGAAAGATAGCTTGATCACTGTTTAATGTGGTGGGGAAAAGAGTTGTTATATAAAAGATACAGCACATAGTGCGATCATCTTCAGGACTCAATTTCTGTCTTTGAGCACCGATGTGGAAAACTCAAAACTTTTAATATATCAGCATTGAAAAGCAGTTCTCTTTCATATTGGGGACATTTTCCTGGGTGCCTGTTGTACAGGTTTAGATGGCCACAATTTGTTGAAATTCTATTCTACATATTTTTTTTTCTTTGGGGCATGGTAGGAAGAATAAGAAGAATTTCTTTTATCTGCAAACAAAAAGGAAACCAGATACAAAGTAGATCATATGTTCTCTATGAACATGATTTATTCATTTTTTTAAATGAATTTTACTAGTCACAAGAATATTTTTGTTGAATATTCAAATAATATGAGCACTGACACCTATTCCATTTGTTTTCCACCAAAATATGATTTAGTTAAGTTGAAGGTCTTGATCTGGTCTAATGCAGAAAAAGTCTATAGTGACTTGAGATACACTGTGAAGACCTCATTCAATGAAAATCTACGTTATTTTATTTTATTTTTTTACCTTATCAAGTCCATATGTTTTCTACATGCTAAAAGAAACATCACGACTAAAAGAAGCAGTCAACACCATTGCTGAGCATTTACACCCTGAAACTGCAGTGACCAATGATAATCTCAAAAACAAAGATTCAGACTAAAATTTCATATGTAACAAACAGACAACTGTCAACTCACAGGGTGGCAGCTACAGCATAACTATTCAGAATCAGTTTCCTGTTCAAGCGTACATGGCGGACTTACTCCAATATATAATACACTGTTTGAGCACAGATGCTGGTGAGCTGATGTGCTCCAACTGCAGTGAGTAGGGAGGGGTGGGTGAAGAAAGGATCTAAGCAGGGACTTCATAAATCTGGGATTACTTTCATGGGGAAAACACCTTCTAAATATGTCACTTTTCCACACAGAGGTGAGTTTATCAGGGTTAGAGTTATAGTGTAAGCCTGGACGCTAGTGTCACAATCCAACAACTTCCTAACAGCAATTAACTCCCGCTACCACCACAACTTGCCTTAGAATGTATGACTTAGTGAGATTTAGTCATGCTGGTGAGTGTATTTCCCCAGTTCGAAAATGTTGCTCCCATACAATTAAACTGCTTTCACAATTATGTTTTAAAAGAGATGTATTTTGTCCCAGTAAGGTAACAGTACGACATAGGAGGAAACATGTCTGCCTAATTAAGAGCCACAAAGACCATGCTAGTGTTTGCATTAGTCTAAAAGTAGTCTGGCTTTGTGAGCCCATTCTGTAGAACATAATGGTCTGACTGCACCACACTATCGTTCTGTGCTATCGGGGGAAAAATGCTCTACATGGGCTTCCAAAGCAAGACCAAAAGGTTCAAAACAGAACTCACAAACTGGGGTTTATTTCCACTATGGGACCATTATTTTTACACTTGAGTTCCTTTTTCACTTGCTGCTTGGTTAGATTTAGGTACCTACAGTACTTGGTTAGGAGAATAGTATAGTTTGAGTTCAAATACATCTTTTCACAACATGTTTAAAACTCCTTCCCAGTCTGCTGCTGGGAGTGCTGCCTGCGGGTCCCTTCGGTCTGGCTGGTTCTTTTTTCTTTTACAATGTTTCTAAATGCTGTAATGTTTTTAAATGCTGTAAAGCACTTTGTGTTGTTCTAGTGTATAAAAAGTGCTATACAAATAAAGTTTGACTTGATTTGATTTGACTTGATTTGATTCCCCATTTTCTGGCTTATGAGTCCTACCCCATTAAAAACATGACTATTTGAAAAGAAGGTTTAACTTCATTGTCATTGCACAGAGTACAATAAATTGCAGTCTTGGCACATCTCAGCTTGTTAGGAGGTTTAGAGTTAGAGTGCTGTCACACTACAGTGCCCCTAGAGCAGACAGGGTTAAGGGCTTTGCTCAAGGGCCCAACAGAGGCAGCTTGGTGGTTTGAGGGGTTCAGTCTCTGACCTTCCAACCGGTAGTCTAAAGCCTTAACCGCTGAGCTACCACTGCCCCCATGACCATTTGAAAGGAACGCCATAAATGTCAAAAATATGTTGATTAGAAGCATATTTGTGATGCATCACAAACAAGATGTAGTCTGGGAAAATATGTTTCCCTCAGAATGTTGTTTAGCTGTATGGAACCATCATAATTTTTGGGAGACAGACCTATCTGCACTTTCATGAAAGAGGTATGAATTGTTCATGAAATTCAAGGCAATTTTCCTCTAATCCCCCTATGAAAATAGGACCATCTACATAGTTTCTGCCGCCGAGTCTGAAAACAACACATGACTCACTATTTGAACGTTCTCTGTAATGCCTGCTGTGGTTTGTCTTAAGTGTATTGAGGCCAAGTTATTGTTGCTGAGCTCTACACTGAGAATAAAATGAGCACAGACCCTCCACTATGTCCTGGTTAGAAGTGTGGCAACGGATTCGTCAGGTTATTTGTTCAGTGCTTACAGCATGAGGCAGAGGAAAATTATTTTCAGTCTGTGCTGTGTCAGTAAGAAATTCATTTTAACTCAGAACCACCCACTGCTGTCCAAGAGCAGATTATATTTACACTGGAAGTGCTAATCACCACAGTTCCTTAACGCCCTTCTCATATCTATCAACATTGGTTGCTATGGTGATGGCGGCACGCATAGATGCAGTGGCCACTTCAGGAGACAACGAAAGTGAACGTTTTGAGTGTCCTGTCTATCCCAGATGTTCATTCCGCAAAACTTGCGGCCAGAAGACTTTGCTGGGCGTCAGGACAGTGAATGGTGCTGGAATTGTGGCGATCGGCTGTGATTTGGAAATACTACACCAACACCGAGTTTGAGCTCAGCCGCTCGCGTGCTGACGAGGACCAGAGGGCGGGATCACATTACACCTGTTTTAAGGTCGCTGCATTGGCTCCCCGTCCGCTTCAGGATCGATTTTAAGGTTCTTTTATTAGTTTATAAGTGTCTTAAAGGCCTTGCGCCCAGTTATTTATCTGACCTGCTTTTACCGTATCAACCCTTGCGGATCCTGAGGTCCTCCGGCAGTGGCCTTTTATCCATTCCAGCAGCAAGAACTAGAACCCACGATGAGACAGCATTTAACCACTACGGCCCCTACCTGTGGAACAGCCTGCCGGAGAGCATCAGGACTGCAGAGACTGTCGATACTTTTAAAAGAAGGTTAAAGACATGCCTTTTTAATCAGGCTTTTAATTGAACTTTAATTCTTTTATATTCTTATCATTTATTTATATTTGCATTTTATCTTTGTATTTTATCTTTATGTATTTACTCTTTTAATTTTTATTTTATCTTACATAAGGCCTTTTATTCTTAAAGGTTTTAGTTTTAATTCCAGTGTTTCCTTAGGGGGGTCCTCCACACTGGGGGCTGTGTGCGGTCTGCTGCTGGGGGTGCTGTCTGCGGATCCTTTCGGCCGGCTGGTTGGGGGGCTCCCCACCTCGTTGTGGGGACCCCCCTGTCTGCCGGGTCGGGGGTCCGGGCGCTGGCGCCCCCAGTAGTCATGGTCTGCAGCTCCTCCTGGTGTGGACGGCCCCAATGGTGGCGTTTCCCACAATCCCTCAGTGCCATGCCATGCCTCTTTTAGTCCCATGGTGAGTGTGTGCATCTGTGTGTGCGTCTGTGTGTGCGTCTGTGTGTGCGCAAATGCATTTATTGTACGTGTATGTGTATGCATGGAGGGTGGGAGGGACGGGTTTATTTTATTTTTTAAATGTAATGTTTTTAAATGCTGTAATGTTTTTAAATGCTGTAATGTTTTTAAATGCTTTGTTGTTTTTAACTGCTTTGTTGTTTTTAAATGTTGCAAAGCACTTTGCGATTGTTGTTGTTGCACATGAAAAGTGCTATACAAATAAAATTTGATTGATTGATTGATTGATTGATTGATTGATTGATTGATTGATCGATCGGAGACTACGTCGGCAATTACCTGAGAGAGAAGGACACGCAAACGATACGAACGTACGCAAAGGAGGAGGAAGAGAGCCAGGATCCATGCTAAAGGCTAACCCCTCCAAACCAGCAGGATCATCGCTCCTACTCTCCAATGTCTGCTCCCTCGACAACAAGCTGGACGAGCTACGTTTGCTGGGAGAAGCCCACAGAGAGTGAAGAGACTGCTGTGTGTTTGCTTTTACAGAAACAGGGCTCCATGACAACATCCCAGACAGACATACAGCTGGAGGAGACGAGAATATTTTGGGCGGACAGACAGACAGCTAGCTAGCTCTGGGCAGCATCTGTGGCTTCACCATCGTCACACCATCGTGTTTGTCTTTGTGTCCCTGAAGACCTACCAGGACCTGAAGAGGTTCGCCATGTTCAAGGAATGGCGGCGCGCATGGATGCAACCTTCAGGAGACAGTGACGGTGTACGTTTAGTGTCTTTTCCCAGATGTGCATTCCGCAAAACTGGCTGGTTCAATAATCCTGAAGAAACGCTCTCTCATCTTGCCAGTACTACTGTGTATGTACAGCAAAATGATAATAAGCTTGATTTGATTTTTTGATTTGATGATTCAGGCCTCACCTCAACTGTAGAAACGAAACACATAGATAATGATTACCCTTGTAATCAATGGATTTCTGCACCACGCAGATCAGAAAATATTAAGCAGCGGATATGGCTCATGGAGACAGCAGCAACGACCAAGTATTCAGTGGCAATAACGTCCATAATTAGAGGATTGCACAGTTAGACAGCAGGTACTTACGAACATGACCCTCTTGGGAATGTGGTCTGACTCAACCAGAGGATTCTTGTAGAGCCAAAGCTCCTCTGGTTGAATCACTCTCTCGAAAGGCTCCAGAAACTCTGTAAATCTGTGGCAAAGAAAAAAAAAGCACTCTGATCAGTTTCTATTCAGACACTCAGTGGATGTTTTTATGCATGAGTGACACACAATAAGATTACATGACTTTTCAATGTACATCATCATTTTGCGGAGCGCAGGACAAAGAGGACCTGTTGGATCATTCATGAGGACAAACACAACCGTTCACCACACGAACAAGGCAACTTCACCCAAGATCACCTGCGCCGCTGTCTCACACACTCACAGAGTGTGAACAAATTAGCATGCTCCTGCTTCCTCCAGCCCTCCCTGGCCACCCAGTGATCTGTCAGACGCGACCTTGTTCTCTGTCATTTCAACAAGGTCTTTTAGTCAGTGAACTCTAAAACAATTCAATCTCTCTCGAAGTCTGTTCTATTCCGCAGTTGTGCTTCAAGACACCTCATTGAGGCAAAGAAGCAAGAGGGTTTTAAAAATGTCTTTTCATAATGAAGCAGTATTGACTTAAGTCTCTCCCTCCTGAGTTCCCTTGTACACAATTAGCAAAGTCGCTGGCCTTGCATGTGGCCTCTGCATTATCAAATGACTCCAGCACAAGAATTAAGTAATGAACTGAGACAATGAACAAATCAAGCTTTACTTAACAGTCTGCATTGCATATTTAAATTAAAAAAACTGCTCAAGTAATACATTAAATTTACAAGTTTAGATCAAATAGACAAGGCAAAGATCTACACAACAGACTGTTTAAATGAAGCAAACGTCAAACAACAAATGATGAATTTCATAAATTTACAAATGTAAATCAACCAAACTAACACAAGGGGTTACGCAACATGTGATACTTAATAAAGACAAAACTTTATGACGTTAGAGTAACAAATTGTAATTTCTAATGTAACATTCTAGGGCAGCCGTTTCACTCATATTTTTACATTGAAACAAAAAGTTCAGCACACAGTGTTGCTTGGACATTGCCTCCCAGCAACAAAATGAAAAAAAAACATCACAAAAGTTCTGTGCTAACCCTGCACAGCCTGCAGTTGCAATATTATACATGTACATACATCACGTTAAGCATTTTTTTTAGACGAAATTCACAGTCAGTGGGTCATGTTGTTTAGCCTCTTGTTTATCCTAACCCTAACACTGCGAATGTTGTTTTATAAATGGATACTTTAAGATTCAAGTTAGAATGCTTTAATCTATCTATCTATCTATCTATCTATCTATCTATCTATCTATCTATCTATCTATCTATCTATCTATCTATCTACACACACACACACACACACACACACATATATATACATATAAAAGTGGATGGATGGATGTGCATTTGCTGCCTGCCCTTGGTTTTACTCCTTCTTTTTGCTGTTGGTAAATGCTACTCAATAAAGTTCAGTAGTAACTTAATAATAATGCAAGGCGGCTTCCTAAACTTTACAAAAGGATTCTCGGGTCTTGCAAATCATCTTCCATATGCTTTAGTCTATAGGAAGAAATAGAAATTGACTAATACTGTCTCCAACAACTGCCTGCCCTTCAGTGAGGCATTTATCTGCTCCATTAGAAATGCTGACTGCCAGAGGCAGAAATGTGAGGATATCCTGCACCCTGTGCAGCTCCTCAGTGTGAATCCAACTGCAGAAGTGTGACTGAGGCTATTGGCTCAATGGCACATGGATCTTCTGAAACCTTTCTTTCATATTTTTTTTTCTTGTTTCTCCTATCCTCGAGCTACAGGAAAATCAATTATGCATTTTTAATCTTTCTACGAGACATGCAGCGTATTACACACTGCGGAAAGTCTGTTTGTTGGTCTGCTGATAACTGTGTGTCATGATGTTTTTGCAAAAGAGCAGCCTAATCAGTACTAGCTCATTTTACACCTTGCTGAGCCCTTGTGCATGATTCACTTCAGAAGCATTACATTCACGGTATGTGGTGTACAATAAATTATGCTGTGCTAATGACACACAATATGCTTCATGAATTACTCCATTTTCTCAGCTTGTTCTCTCTTCAGCTCTCCGGCGTCAGAGACAAGATGTTTTTTGATTTATTTTTTTTTTCTAGGGATTAAAAGCTGGGAGATAGAGCAGAGCAAGATAGAGTTGGTCAACCTCAGCCTCAACTCTGACACACACATACACACACAGACGGACAAACTAGCCCTCTGTTGTAAACACACAAAGTGCTCTAAGGTCATTAAATGCTGCAATGATCTACCTGTCACTCTGCAAGGCTTATCTCGCAACCAACCCTTTACGTCTTAATGAGTTTGAGGCTCATGCTCCCCCAAGGTAGCTTCACAGATAAAACTCATCTTCACAATATCTTTCATGGGTCATGTAGAAATGCACCACCTGCACAAACTTTGCTGCAGTGTGTAACTACCTCTCTATATATTGGCTTAAATTGGTTGTGGCAGAGCGTGCCAACCTCCCAATAATAAGAAGAATTCATGTCTTATTGTGGTAAAATCAATTGAGTCTGACATGTGGTGATATTCAACAGCAGCTGGCAAAAGGACACCTCAATTTTCATTACATATTTTCGGGATTTTTTCCCCCCTGTGTTTGCTCGGAGTGCTCACTCTCATAAACTTCAAAAAAAAAAAAAAAGCCTCTTGGACATGTAATATTCCCTTCTTATTTTGGAGAATTTGTATCAAATCTCCTCCAACAAATCAATGCCACCCTCAAAGGATTTCTCTTAGCTAGAAATTCAGATGAATTTTTAAGTTTTTTTTTTTTTTCCTTATCCTCTCTTCTCCAATGATAAACTTTATTAAAAGACAAACTGCAATATGATTTAGGTGCACTTTAAGGGCTCCAGGCTCCAAAACACAGTTGGAATTAACCATGCGTGTCTCCATGGATAAAAGTGGCTGGTGAATTAATTTCACCTTTATTGTAATGTGGTGAACACAGTAGGAAGTGTATCATTTACATGACAGTGACAGAGCATTTTTCTCTCTGCGTGAAGAAAGGAAGGACAATGTGGATTACGGCCACATTAGTGGAGCTAATGTCTGAGTTCCAAGGGGTAATGATATGCACTGCATGTGCCCCAATTTATCCTGATGGGAAATAATTGTTATCACGTTGATTTAAAAAGAGAGAAAACAAGGTTGGAGAGTGGTGGCAGGGTGTGTTATAGAAGGAATAAAGTTAGAATAGGCATGTTTGGACAGGCGGAAGGTTTGGTTAACAGCCAAAAGATGTGATTTATGGCTTTTGCTTGTGATTTATTTCCATTTAAATCAACCTTGTTACTCTGCGCGCCATGAGATTAAAACAGCTACAGCAAATGGGCATGAAACCTGAAGATACAGAGTCACCGCAAAGGGACAAAGATAAGGTAGAAGGGAAATAGTGAGAAAGGCAATGTGGAAAAACTGTTTTTCTACAAAGGCAAATTCATCTGGTCCAATGAAGCCCCCCTGTCACGATCTCTGGCCAAAATAGACAGCTCTCTAAGTGCCCATAAACTGGAGGCACACAAAATACCCTGAACTCAGCACCGCCTGCTGGCTGCCTGGGGAGTTTTATCAGCGTTCTGTTTTATCAGGTTCTGTTTGCTCTGTGTAGAAACAATATTGAGCAAAGTCATAAAGGCTTCTATAAGGGCCAAACCATTATAGATTAACTGTCAACACAACAACAGATGTGGGAGGCTTCATATTTTCTGTCAATAGTTTCATTGTAGGGGTCATTTATGCTCAGAGGACACAGAGTGCATCCACGTTAGCTTTTATAAAACATAAATAAATAAAATAAAAAAGTAGCGTGCAACTACACTTTAGTTTTGACTTCAAATCTTTACATCTAAAGTTTTCTAAGCCAACAACTTTCTAGAATTTTGTCTCTTCCCTATTCTTCTTCATTAGAGCTCTGCATTTGGGCCAATTTATCATCACCAATTCCTATCCATCTCTGCTAGATGCATATCCTAAATCTGATGAGCCACAGCCACAGACAAAGAAACAGAACTGAATTATTTCTCAAGATCTCCTCTCTCTCTCTCTATCTTTCTTTCTCCACTGTGCTGGAAGACTTGGAAGATTTAGAACACAACAGCACCAAGAACAATATGCGTAGCTAATTTGAAAGCCCTTGATTTACAATGCGCTGTGGGCTGAATCTGTGACTATGGCCTTGGGAATACATATCTACTGCTGTGCCACCGTGACAGAAAGTTAAAAAAAAAAAAAAAGTCAAGAAATTCCTCCCTAATTAGATAGATACGCAGTGAAGCAATTAGGCATACAGAAGAGTGGAATGGCTTAGTTGGATTAACTTTAGGCGAGTTCCCGTTTTCACAAAACTAAGCCTGAAAGTGATATTTTAGTTGAATGTCTGTGTGCGTGTGTGTGTGACTATGTTCGTGCATCAGCCTATCACAGATATATCCCAACAGAAACCGAGCCCTTTCATCAATATTGATCGCATTATATCTGCTTGCAGAGGTTGGCTAAGCTGGAGCCAAATGCCCAGAGCCCTTATTAAACTATAGTCACACAGCATTTATCAACAGGTGAGGGAGGCCATTGAGCACTTCTAACACTGGACAGCTCACTTAGCAGACAGAGTGTGTGACCTTCGCCTTCTCAAGGGGAATGGAAAATATCAGGGAGCTCTACGATGTCCATGACACACAGGTTCATGGCACTGCACAGCACCAGCAGTCTGGTCCAGTGTCTTAGATTTAACTTTCGAGCAAGTCTTGCCTTTCCTATGTGGGATATTTAAGTTTTGCATGGTGTTTCGTTCATTCACATTTGATTGTATTTTCCCTCTCAGGAGGTACACATTTGGTAATCAGCTGAGCTGCTAGGAGTTAGTTGTGTGTAGTTATCTATTATTTATTTCTAGTATTAGATCATTTCTGCCTTTCTCTCAGTCTGATAGCACCCACATGCCACCTCCTACTTATTACCACAGTCATTTAATCATACAGCAGGGAGCTATTGAAAAGTGACTTATGAGATTTACACGCTATTAGGATCAGAGGTTGTGTTGA